ATATATATATACACACACACACCCAAGATCTCCAAAACACCAATAGATCGCAGAATGTAAACACACCAGTAATGCCGGCCTTGTCGCAGGCGTCAATGGCAGTGTTGATGCTAACGAGGTCTCTCCCCAGAGACGCCTTGCTGCTGCATCTTGATCTTGCAGAGCGAGAGTTCCGAGGCCGCGAGTCAAGAAGCCAACAGACCGAACAAAGCTGAGGAAGCCCCCCAAAAGCCGGGGAAGCTAGGATGAATAGTAGGGAGCAATAGTAGAGCAGCTACAGCCGCAGGAAGTAGCAGCAGCAGAGTGATGCGTTCGTCGGCACTGACGTTGATCCGTTTAAGCTCCGGTCTTCAATCTTAAGATTGCTTCAACGCAGGGGTTCAGTGTGTGGTCAAGGCTTCGGGGTTTGAGAGTTTCGGGGCTCAGGGTGTAAGTAAGCGTCACACCTCCATGTCTACAAATGCTATGCTTCTGAAACTGCTTTTGCTGCTGCTCCCTGCCTCCTGAATCGGACAAAACCAGGAACAACGGCCCTGATCCTGTTCCGACATCAGGCCTCTGCAAACAAATAAGCTCGGAATCCAACTCGATGATTGCAATGCTTCTCCGGACTTCCCCCGTATACCAGAGCTGCGAATTCGAAACCACTCTTCCCAAAAGCCCTGCCAAGCCTTCAACACTTTTGGTGCTACCCCAGAACAAACGAGAAAGAAACAAAACGCCAAAGCCAGCCTGAAACCCGGAGAGAGACGAGGCCCACAGACCTTCGCTGGCGCATGCGCTTTGAGCCTTTGGCTTTTTTTCGGATCTTCGACTTCGGGTTTAGATGTTGAGGGCTTCAGGATTGGCATGGGTCCGCGTCCAGCCTCTGGCCTAGCTGGTCTTTCGGCTTTGTTTTATGGATTTCCGGCTTTGGCTTGCGGAGTTTTCCGCGGTTCGGGGTGAGGAAACGTTCCGGTTCAGGGCGAGGCTCGGGTCTACTTTACTGGCGTTGCTGCTGCTAGCTGCATGGTGCCATGACCATGAACGTCGTAACTTCTGTGTGCTTAATTAACTATTTATCAAATTGCCACTACGACGACTACGACTCAGAGTTTACACGACAAAGCCCGCCTGCTAGACAGCAGTCGTTGCCGCCACCACTACCACAAATCAATCGCGGATGCCCGTTTCAGCAACTACGCCTAAGTCGGGATGGACCTGACTAGACTAAGGGAAAGGAGTGCTCATTTCAACACGGAAACTGCCCCCTCTTTGCTGTTGAGTACCTTTCAACCAGAATCCATGTTTAAGTTCACGAAGACGGGGGTCTTTGACTAGTGCACAACTTGCATTCTAAAAGGTTTAAAGGATCTCTGCTGGTGGTGCAAATGTGATAATGCTGCATTGCCGAGAACAGCTACATGTCGCTCGGATAAGCGGAACAAGATCCTGTTGTTTCCGGCGGCTTAGGTACGGAGAGGCATCACAAAAAGGCCAAGGCCTCCGAGCGGCTGCATTCCGTGCCACAATGT